TTTTCTTTGTTTTAGCCGCGTTGTTGCGGCTCATTTCAAAGAAAATTTATTACTACCTTCAAAATGTATTTGGCTACCGTTTGGTCGCTACGAACCCACACCGAAATTAATTTGTATACGAGTATACATATGTATACCTATATACGTGTATGTATGTTTGTATGTTTGTATAACCAAAAATAGCAATTAACAACAATAAAAATGGTTGAAAGAAAAACAATTAAAAAATAAATAAATAAATTGGAATAGTTAATAGCAAATAACAAATTAGCTGTACTCTCGTTCCTATATTTACATATGTAGATATGTATATAGATATATGTATAATAAACACATACATGCATACATTTATGTATGTGCATACATGCATGTGAATTGGCACAAGGAGTTGTGGATCACATTAAGTGGATTTCTTATTAATTAGATTTCTTTGGCAGAATGTTTCGTTCTTAATTTAAACTGTTTTGGCTTTTGTTGTTGTTGCTGTTTTGCTATTTTAATTTGAACATTGATTAACGATGTCAGTCAGCGGATCGATTAAATAAATGAAGATACTTTTTTGTTCCTTTAAAATTTAATTTCGTATATCAAATATATGTATGCATAAATACATATATTTGTACATACATGTATGTATGTCTGTATATATAGAAATTGTGTTAATTTATAAGCGGTTTTTGTTCTTCAAGAATTTGTATTTTAATAAAAAATGAAACGAAGTACGTATGTATGTAGACCATATACATATGTACATATATTGTACATATAATTAGCATGAATTTTTTTAAAAATCTATCAGAGCTTGAGTCAATATTTCTATGAGAGTTTTATTTTATTTTAGCATGAAACACTTACAAACAAAATGTTTAAACAAATTTCAGAAACAATGCGTGCTTCGAAATTTTAAAAAAGCTAGTTAGTGTGTTTCTACAAACAATCGACGGGACATTTGTGTGTTTACCTAGAGTAAGACTCTTGTCACAAATTCATATACTACTATATAGAATGATTAAAATATATTCAATATGCCGCCAGTATACACACATATGCATACATATACATATGTATATATGTGTGTATATCACAAATATGTATGTATGTCTTATACCAAACTCATTTAAATGTAATTTGAGCACCATTAACCACTTGAGTTACACAGACAATTTTTACAGTACTCTTTTTTTTGTTTGGTTTTATGTTTTTTTTTTTTTTTTTTTTTTTTTTTTTTTTTTTTTTTTTTTTTTGTTTTTGTGGTATCAAGCATAAGTCGAACTCCGACACACTTAATCATCATTAAGTAATGTGGATCTTATCTTTGGTGAAAGACTATTACATACAATAATGTACCAAGCGACATATGGACACTAATATGTTCGTAGTAATTTGTTCGCACGAACACACACACACACACACATACACAAACAAACAAACAAATAAAGGACACTCACCAGCGAAGTGTTGCTGCTGCTCCTGAGTCAGTTTCTTTGCTATCACCAAGCGTCTAGAGGCCGACATAAATCAATTTCCAATATTGTAGGCCGGTTTGTTTTGGTAGAAAATGTCAATTGGTGCAACATACATACATGAGTATACAAAACGCCTACCAAAACACTAAGTACACTGTGAAGGCAACATTTGCTCTGCTCTGCTAGTCAACGTAAATTGTGCGTTTCGTTGGTGAAAGTGAAATTTGATATTCGCTCGTTTCGTTTGGCATTTTGGTGTGCTATAGAAATTATGAAATATGTTTACGGATTTTTATGGCCCACTATAATCGTTTACAAGCTACACTTGACCAGCTTGATAGTTGGAGAATTCGATAAGTATGCATATTGAATTTTTGGAAAATTGATAAATTCCTATGAAATGTGGATTTTTTTTCCTTTGGTATCATTCCATGCACATTTGTTAATTGTCCAACAAGTTAATTAATGTGTGGCTTATCGAGTGGTAAGTGATTTTGAGGATTCGGTACAAATTACCCAGACAATGTGTCTCCAAAGGAAAGTAGCGCATTGCAGATACACATGTATGTACATACATATATACATATGTGCCTATGTCAGTGTGGCTTACAAATAAAGCCATTAAGTATGTGTTCTATTTGTTGAAATTTTTGCTGACATTTTTTTCAAAAAATTTAAGAGATAAAAGTGAAACCAGCTGCCAGTAGTAATAATTAAAATTTATCAAAATGTTTAAAACAGAAATTTTAAATTTTTTTAACTTTTTAACGGAATATTCTTGATTTTTGAAATTAAAGCTTCAACAATAATATTTTTTATTAATTAATTAGGGTATTCACAAGGTGTCATGTTGTGTCATATCGTCGTATTGGTTTATTTTTTTTATGTCTGTCATATCAACACTGTTGTTGTTTCCCATGCAAAATTGTGGGGTATGAATTTTGAGTTTGCTATTCTATCTGTTTAATTTCTTATTTTTGACGTTAAAATGCCCAAAATTAATTAATTAAATAAATTAAATTTGTATTTTTAATTTTTCACTATCAAACATAGAAATATTACACAAAATGACAAACAATGATTGAGGGGTACTCACAAATAGGCAAAGCTTGTGAATTGCCTAAATGATAGATAGATAAAATATATATAGATTCATTTTTTTTAATTTTAATTAATATTTAATTTATTATAACATAATTTTAAAATTTTAAATTCAAAAATCAATAACATTTCTATGAGTTTCTACATTTTTTTTAATACTCAATATAAATACATGATAACCCTATAATTTTAATATTAAAATGAAATCGTTTCTTAATAAGAAACAAACTTTGTGTCATTCGAAAAAAATTAACATTTTTAAATCTCTATAATCTATGTATGTATCTAATATATTGAGTAACTTTCGAAAACATTTTCTAAACAACTGCATAAACATGCATTTGGAGTCGATACTGAGGACCTTCCGTTCAAGTGGAATCTTTCCCTTTTATATTGATTCTAACCACTCAATTAGTCTTCTAATTTGTCTCTTTATCCAGATTGAAGTGCCACTACAAAAATATTCTAACCTCGTTTGATCGTACCGTTACTATTTCCAAACTATGTATTTCAAAAAAAATATTAATAAGTATCCTTGGGATACAGCAAACAAATTAATGAAAATGTACTCGATGATATTTCTAAGTGTTTTACTTGGTACTTCAAAAGCATTTTAGTAGTTGCGAGACGCCATAATTAACCGCATTTATTTAGTATTCTGAAAATACACTTATGTAACGTATGTATAGATTTGTAGCTGCATCGGTACCAACAATATTGTATTCAAAAAGTCATTACCGCTAATTAACTCGACGCCAGCGTGACAACAATAGAAAAATAATAACTAATAGTAACGACAGAAGCTGTGAGCGAATAAAAAATGCTCGCTAATGAATAACGTTGAAATTGTAGTTTTATCATTTAAATTTCAGCTTAGAATATTCGAATAGTAAATTCCAACGAAAATGGGTTAGTGACAGCCGAAGCCACGTGCGTTTGTAATGTGGGCAGAAACAAAGGATAAATTAGAAGGGGAAAGCAATTTTTTAGTTAAGAATAAACTAAAAGAAAGATTAACAACTAGAACAATACATAAAAAAAATAAATAATAAAAAAATGAAAAAAAAAAAAATTATGATAAATAAAATAAAAAATTAAATTAAATTAAAATGAAATAAAATTAAGTAAAAAAATTAAAGTAAAGTGAAATAAAAGAAAATCAAGTAAAATAAAATAAAATAAGAAAATAAAATAAAATAAAATTATAAAATAAATCAAAATGAAAAAAAAACCTAAAATAAAATAAAGTAAAATAAAATAATACAATATAAATCTAATCAAATTGAAATAAAATCAAATAATATAAAATGAAATGAAATGAAATAAAAGATGAATAACATAAAAAATAAAATAAATCAAAATGAAAAAATAACATAACACAAAATAAAGTAAAATAAAATAACACAATAAAAATATAATCAAAACGAAATAAAGTAAAGTAAAATAAAACAAAATAAGATAAGACAAAATATAGTAAAATAAGAAAAAATAAAACGAATAAAAAAATAAAATAAAAAATATGAAATAAAAAAAGTAGAATTAATTAAACTAAAATTTCAAAATTTATGTAAAACAGAAAATAAAATAAATTAAAATAAATTAAAACTGAATTAAACTAAAATAAAATAAATAAAAACATAAAATAAAATATAAAAAAATAATTCAAATTAAAAAAATGACCAAAATTAAACAATTCATTAAAAAAATAAATAACATAGATAATAAAAAAAAAATTAAATAAAATCAATTAAAAAATTAAATAAAATTAAATTAAATTAAATTTAAAAAAAATTAAAAATAAAATAAAATAAAAAATAAAATAAAATAAAAAATAAATAAAATAAGAAATCAAAAAAAATAATAATAATTAAAATAAAAAAATGAATTATAATAACAGGAAGTAAAGAAAAATGAAATAGAAAAAAAAACATAAAATAAAATAAGATCAAATATATGAAATAAATGAAGGAAAAAAAGTAAATTAGAAAAAGCAAAATAAAATAAAATAGCATAAACTAAAATAAGCGACTGAAATCAAATAAAACAATTTAAATAATTTAAATATAATAAAATAAAATAATATAAATAGAAAAAATGTATAAAATTTAAAAAGAGGAAAACCAATATCTATGAAATAAAAGAAAGTAGTCTGAAACAAAACAAAACAAACAAAGTATAGTAAAATAAAATAATAAGTAGTAAATATAGTATAAAATAACGCTGAACGAAACTGAATTTATGTGCAATTTGTAGTCAATTGTCTTTAGAATATTTACTTTTATGTATGAGCATATGAACTTCATGAAACCATTAAAAATTTGATTAAACATATTTTGTTTCCCTCAACTACATACTTATAAACATAAATATATATATATATATATGCAGATATTTAAACAAAAATTAATTATTTTATTTTCTGGGTTTTTTCAGATAAATCCCACTTGGATATCTTCTCGAACCGCCCACAACCGAAGAAAAAGCGCAAGTCACGCACCGCCTTCACCAATCATCAAATATTCGAATTGGAAAAACGTTTTCTCTATCAAAAGTACCTGTCACCAGCCGATCGTGATGAGATCGCCGCCGCCTTGGGTCTCTCAAACGCACAAGTGATAACCTGGTTCCAAAATCGTCGGGCAAAGCAGAAGCGTGATATTGAAGAGTTGAAAAAGGATTTCGATAGCGTCAAAGTATTCTCAGCGCATAAATCCTTTCTGGAAAATGTAAATGATCTCAGCATATTGAAGAAGAAACCCATGCATGAGGCCGATGCAATGGTGGGTCTTGCAGCGGCTGCAGCGGCTGGTATGGTGCCTGTGTCGTCGGCGGCCGCGGCGGCTGTTGCTGCACATGCTGCATTAAATAATCAAAAATGATAAATTAATGGGCGCATAATCGCGCCTTAAATAAATTTTTATACATACACAAACAACAATCAAGCAACAAAAGAGGAAGAGGTACAAAAAAACTGCTAAAGAAACTATGGAGGAACTTTAAATTTAATGTGGGTGCTGCTAAAGAGAAAGAAAGTTGTGTTGGAGAGTGTGATAGTGATGAAAACGGATGATGCTCGTGTAAGGAAAGTGATAAAATTATGCCTTAGTGTTAGCAATCGTTGACGAACCAGACTAACCAGCCTGAAAACCGGCTAGCACTAGCAATGCACTTCATCGCCAACGGATTTAGAGTGAACTGACCAGTAAGAACCGACTCTACTACACATTGAAAGGGCTGTAATGCAGAATTCATATCCTATCACTATTTGCACTCTTTACCGGCAGCATTTAATCCACACAATTTAGACGACTTCTATACGAAAAATGTTGAACGTTGCGTCTGCAATGCACCAAAGCTCTCCGCAGCGTTCCAGTTCATGGCGGAAGGCAGCAAAAGTCTGAACCGGTAGTCCCACGGTCGGCACACATCGAGAGCTATGAATGGTTCACAGCCTGGCTTGAATGTTGATAACACAAGGCTGACGGGAAATTCATTTGAAACACAAAAGAGCGAATCGAAAATCTCAAACGCAAATTAAACAAAGCTTTTAAGTGAAAAAAAAATTATGACAATTTAAGTATGAAGAAAAAAGTATTAAGCAAAAGACAGATTAATAAATTTTTGAGATTCTAAAAAAACTAAAAAGTTTGTATTGAGTAGTATTTGTGGGAAACTGGTACAGGGCATATCTAGTATTTAGGAAAGAAGCATTTAATCGATTAATGAATAACATTAAAAAAATATTATATTATATATATACATAGCTTACGAATCGTGATTGGCGCTGGTTAACTCACTTTAAAAGGGATTTTCAAAGATAGAGAGAACCCAGGACTTGTGCGCATTAAATCTATACAAACTCACCAAATTCCTTTTTGCTTTATGCGACAATTGTACAACCCATCGATCAACGCTTTGGGTAATTTGGGATACAAAGATTGTATTTTCCTAAAGCTTCCATATAAGACTTTTTCTTCGTTGGAAACTTAAGAGGTTTAACCGGTGCTGATGCTTCAAGCTTCATGCAGTTAAAATACATCTATGAAAGAGTGAAATTTACTTATGTAGATATTCAAAGAATCTAGGGACCTACTTACATTATTTGAAAACTCATTAGAGGCAATTATTAGTGAACAACTTTCTTTTACGATGTCTTTACGGAAATTTTTTCTCGCTTCGAATGGAGTATTTGAGAGTCCCTGTGTTTCCCACATAGCTGATTGCTTAAGCAGATGTCTCATCAATTAACTTCAAACTGCTTCTTGACTGCTTTTTATACAGTACCATATTTGTTTGCTGCAGAACTTCCCAATTCCTTGCGGTTCTGTTGGTCTGTCAGACCTACCCTTCCCTTTTCCCTAAGTTTTGTAGACGAAAAATCTCCATCAGAGTCATTATTAAACTCGCCAAGGCAGGTCAGTTCGGGGATTTCTTAACTGTATAAACTTATTTGAATTTTACACATTGAACTGGAAACTTTTGAATGAAAAAGCATTTTCTTCTGTTCGTGATGCATTTAGTTCCTCAAAATCGTCTTTCTCGATATTTTTTTGATTGGCTTTACCTTTCGTTAAACTCTTCTGGTAGAAAGCAGAAAATTTCCGAGAGCAATAGCAAGTACAATATTTACTACTCTTGTACTTCCACCAACACACATGTATGTACAAGCATCTCTTAAGCTTTGTGCATAATCAGATTCAGAACGGTTTGTTAGTCCCTTGTTTGTCGAATGCCGACGCCTCACATACATAAATAGATGCCGGCGACCCTTTCAATCAAGGCATTTCACACCTAATTCGAGAATATCACGCACGCAAAAAAAGATCAAAGGCTTGTGCCGACCGCTACTATCACAGCAATAAAGATGATTTTTCAACCGAAAAAAATCTGATTAAAAATCGAAGACCAACAAACATTTTGTATGTTATATAGTAGGTACATTAGAGTAAAGCGTAAACACGTGTTTGTATGTATTGTACATAAGTATCATAAAATATTTATGTACAGCAAGGCTGTTTTTATAGATAGCTGTTAATGTAAGCTGCCGAAAATCGACAAGAAGAGAAGATAAATAGACTAATAAAAAATGGTAAACCCTATAATTAAGTATAACAAGTTCAATATGAGTTTGAGAAAATTTCATTTTCGAAAATCTTCATTTTTTCTGTGCACTCCAACAGGGACTAATACATACATATGTATGTACAAATGTACATATGTACCTGCACCTCTTGGTAAAATATAACTGTGTAGCTGCAATATATTGAAGAATTTAGTGTGGCGTTGAAAACGTAGACGCAGTTGAGAGAGAGAGAGAGAGAGACAGAGAGAGGGTTATTATAGTAGCGGGAGCAATGACGATTTAAGCCGATTTTAATTGCTTGTAGCAACAAACATAAAATCAAGAAAGAAATATAAACACACACACACTTGCCCAAACCTGGTTAAAAACGTTTGATAGCGTTTACCGGTAGCATTTAAGGCGACCACCATGCTCCACAATTGAAATGATCAAAGCGTTGTGCGGCTGCGCACACTGCCCAACGGTGTTTATTGATTTAATTTTTATTTATTTCCCTTTTTTAATTTTTATTATTATTTTTTTCTTTCTATTATTAATTATATTGAAGAGCGCTAATGCCATTACTTTCGTTTGATTATCTTCAGCTTTTCTCCATTATCGTCAAACGTAAATTTCACTTCAAATCGCTGCCGATTGCATTGTGTCAATGAGCGCATTTAAATGAAAATTCCTATTTGAAGAGGAGGAGGAAGGTTAGGCGCAGACGGATGAAAAAGATAAGCTATTGGTATATGTATTTATAGAAATTCAATTGAATTATATTATAGGCGTACATACATACAAACTCAAACACATTTCCATATGCCTTGGAGTGACTCTTTGTGGCGTGTAGAATCTATTAAAGACTAAACAAAGAAACTACCGAACGGCCAACTAATGTCTGGTAGCTGATAGTTGATCACTGGCCGCTACCGAACACCACTGAATAGCGCGATACAGTAGTAACTGAACGCTGACCGGTGTTTACTGATCGTTGATCGGCAATCGCTGTGATCGTTGTGATCGCTACAAAATCAGCGCGTACCGCACGCGTGTTTTTCGGGGCATCATTAGCTGCTGAATTGATGGCTTGATTATTTAAATGAGCGCTGCTTTACGACTGTACGTCTGTCTGTCTGTCTGTTTGTCTGCTTGTAGGTCTGTATATTTATAAAACCAAAGAAAAGAAAATGAAAACAGTTAAAAGCTAAAGCAAGTGGCAGCGATGGTCGCTAAACAGAAGCTACAGTTAAAAGTACTCAAATAAAATAACAATAAAAACAACAACAACGCACTGCAACAGCAATAAATAAATCGATCGCCGCTCAACGCCTAATAGTTAACGATCAACAGCAGCGTTACATATGTATGTAGTTACATACATATTATAGATACATACATACATACATGCATAAATAATAAAAGAGTGTTTGTATGTATGTAACTTGCCATGCGTACAAGTGTTTAGCTGCGCAGGCACAAACGCAGTTGACTTAAACGCAACGCCGCATCGGTAATTGCCCAAACGCAGCAGCGCCATAACTACTTATGCACCTCAGGCGGCAGACCAAAAACGCTTTTGATGTGGAACCGCAAAAAAACGCTTGCGGGTCAAGCGTTGATCATTCATATGTACATATGTATGTATATACATACATGCGCATTTTAAAGTTTGTACGCTTGTTCGTATTTCTATCGCTTGGCACCATCGATCAGCCTCAGTAACAGCACATACAGAAGCCGTCTTGAAAACCACACACTTTTGATAGTTGCATTGCTGGTTTTGCGTTCACCTGCTGTAGGCTTTTTTCCCGGCATATGCCTTGTAGAGAAAAAATTGTGATTTTTATAGGCGAAAAATATAACGCCGGATTTTTTTTTATTTATTAGGAAGTGCTCTACCAAACGTCAATATGATATTGAGGTTTTGGTAGGGATAAAAGTGATCCTTAACCATCGATAGGCACAATGTGCCATTGGCATAACTTAAGTCTGGATGCTGTAGCAGGTTAAACTCTTACTTATCTAGACTCGACCCCCGCATATAGAACGTATGTGCTGCATGTGGCGAGCCTCCGCACGACACTAACCACCTCTTCACATGCCCACGTCTAGTCGCCCTTTCCCTTGGGTCCAATCCCGTCGAAACAGTTCGTTTCCTGGGCCTCCCACTAGATGACATCGGTGACTTAGATTAATCAAACCTGTACCTAAGCGTGGTTAGCAAACCGCTATAAGAACAACAACAACAATATGCCACCTGATCGTATGAAATAAGAATACGTGAGAGCTGCCACACTCGTGCTGTGATATGTCGACCGCTGAAGTAGAAAAGCCAGCCGGTATTGGGTCAGCACCTTTACACCCTGCCCCTGTCGGCTTCCACTCCTCTGTATCAGGGGGAGTTTGTATCCATTTCTTTTCATGCAGAGTATTTCCCGCATTCATCTACTAAGTATCGTATTCTCATATTCTGCCATTTAGGGTATTGTCTATGTATTAAGACTACAACTGCAGATTGAGCTCCTTACTAAAATTTGAGAGATTTATGCTCTTATTGTTGTGCCTTAGAAGTGGCGACTAATTTAGATCAGGGTTAGCTAGTAAATCAACCACACATGATCGTCCGTCCTAAGTACCGAGGCCGCAAACCTTCCGACGTCATTATGCGGGGCATCTACGCTGGAAGTTAAAGAGCAAAATGATATGATTTGCTGACAGTATCTTCTGGGATGAACACAACTACGTGGGTTCTATATACAGCAATATAAAACATTATTTCTGGAAGCGGAAAGTTGGAGATGGGTTTTAATCGCTATTCACAGAGGCTCAATTAACACTCAACTCAATTGCTATTCTCCGATTGCAGTTGAAGAGTATCGTAAGTAATAGTGATACAATTAGTATCTGAATATTTCAGACTGAACTCGCATCTTTATAGTCTTGATCTCGACTTAAACAACTGTCTCTTTCTGGGCCTCTCAATTCATCTTATGTTATAGCATTTTCTGGTTGAAAAGACCTCGATGCAACGATGAGTTTTTCTTACTCCTAATCGCGGTGTAATGAACCACTTAAACAATTCAACAGCTAATGGTAAGTACAGGAATGAGGGAGTTTATGGCATTTAATCCAACAATCCACGTATTAGACAAGCTGATCCTGTGAAATAAAAGTACTTCCGAGAAATAAGTAGAATAAAAAAAATCAGTTTCCTCATGCATAAAAACATAAATGAGCGATAAATTACATTGCAAGTTGGAAGACCTCGACTTTCCTACAGGGCACTCACACAATAATAAGTACAAACTTCGATAGCTGTCACCTGATTGCTGTTTCATCCATGCCCTTAGGAGGAAATTATTGATAAGATGATCAATGCGAAACGTCAAGGGGAAAGGAGAAATTCAGAGCTTTGCGGTGCAGAAATCAAAAGACAAAAATGATCGATTGATCAGGCAAATCGCATATTTAATTGCATTCAATTATTATATATTAATTAGAATTTTACCAAATTAAGGTATGTAAATTAGCAACAAAT